ATCCTTGTGTAATACGGGACAGGTGGTCATAAGGGTTAAATGGGTGGGGCATATCAGGGGAAGGAAAAAAAGAATTTAGAAAGTGGGACGTACAAAAGAAGAAAATAACGATAATAATTGCAATAACCAAATATTAGCGCGCGATAATTAAAATGAGAAATTCCACCAATAGGAAAAAAGAAGGCCCAATAGTGCCCAATGGAACACAATCGTGGACGCTATGTTAACTCTATATAGCAGCTCTATAGAGTCGATATCAAGTCGACTATTGTGTCCAGTTGGGCACTATTGTACCTTCTTTTTTCCTATTGGTTGAATTTCTCATTTTAATTATCGTGCGCTAATATTTGGTTATTTAAATAGACTCTAGTGGGCTCTAAATTAAACTGTCGCACTTTCTGTCACCATGAGAACCTATCAAGCGTGATTAAAACTGGAATGCGCGGGACAGTAATAAGCCACGTGCAGGGGACGGGGGGTGTAGAAGGCATGGGGTAACGTCCATTATCGATCCTTATCACGGCAATGCAGGTTGCTCAAGTGATCAAACTGATCACAGACTTTTGGTTTTCTCCGTATTGAAGCGGCCTCTGCAAAGTGAAGGAGCAAGACAACGTCGAGATGACCCGGCAGGAATCTGGCGTAAGCCGCTTTATCCAATGCAGCCAGAAACACCGCTTAACTTAGTCTTAAGTGACAGTAGTCTTTTGCGCTGGTACTACTGCAATATCTACATTCACTCACCCATAGTAAGTGCACAGAAAGATTCGAGGAGCCCGAGTCCTCTATTCCTACTACTGCAATTACTGTTTATACTGCTGCTTCTAGCGGTGTCTCTGAGTGATTGTAGTGCTGGTACTAGTATTTATGCTAATATTTGGTAAGAGATGATCTGGACCCGAGTTCCCTCGATCTCAACTAGGAGTGGAGACCTGGATTTTTGCTATTTCAGGCAGTATTTAGTTGAAGGGTTAAATAAGCGTTATTTAATAATGTTTCAAGATGTCTCTCTCTCTCTTTCTTCACCCATCTGAACCCAGAGTCTCTGCCCCGTCTAAGGTTCAGAGAGCGTCCGACGTGGTCACGACCACTTTTAATAGTACGTGGATGGCAGTTAGAGGACTTGAACAGACAGTCACGGGAACCAGTGTTAGGCCGTCAGGGCTTGGCACGTCAAAGTTCGGCTGTGTCAGCCTCTACTCAGTTAAGACTACTAGAGGATAGGATACTACTGTTAGGAGGGCCAGTTATAGCAATCATACTTGTTAACACCAGTAAGTGGCAAGTTACAGTGCGGCCTGTACGTGCATGTAGGAAATGTTAACCTAGTATGCAGTCGTAACCTATGTGGGGATTATAGTAAACTGAAGGGTTAAAGAAACGTGTATTTGATAATAGCTGAAGATCTACCATGCATTTAGGTCGTAAAAAAGAGACATTTACCGTTTCTACAGTACCTATCTCTGGCTCAGATCTTACAGACAATCATACTTCTAAACAGGTGCGCTACAAATACGGAACTAGAGGACAGCAGTATGACGGTACAGTGCAGCAGGAATAGTGCAGTATTAGTGATGCTGGTGACACTAGCGATTTTAGTTCATATAATCCATAGGCAACTGTTACCATATTTAATCTAACGAGCACGTAACTATACAATTTGGGAGTCAACCCTAGATAGGGGTGATAGTGCGGACGGCCTGAATAATGCCTATCAGTATTTGGCGACTAAACTTAGTACCGAGAAATCCCGATTACCTGACATGGCATCTAGGGGTTTGCCTGTCCGGGCCATAGGAGAATCACCTCTTGTGGTCACTGGCTGTAGCTTTCGATAGACAACGCACATTTAGGACTACTAGGGCTAGGATACTGCTGTTTGAAGAGTTCTGCTAATGCTATGAGTGCTAATTTTAGTAATCCTATTGCTAAGACCAGTATTTATTATACTGCAATGTGGCCTGCACGTGCATGTACAAATTCGGAACCTAGTTTGCAGACGCAACCTATATGGGCGATTATTTAGCCATTTGCCGTTATTACACAAACGTTTGGCTTTTTGCAGTACCTAACTCTCTCTTGAGGTTTGGGGGACGTCTGCTGTCTGATAGGAGAGCAATCTACCCCATGATCAAATAACATTGCTATATCCTATAGCTGTGTCAGTAGCTCAGTATTAATGAATAAGAAGAGTTGATGGGAATATGAGTTAACCACCCTTTTGTCTTCATCTGGTGTTTGTGTGAGACACCCGGGGTTGTCCTGCGGGCATACCGTCTTTGTACGGAGTTACGGATCAGC